TGGCAGTTCATTTCGAGATGCTCCTGGATTTCTGGATGCCTCTGAATATTCCTGGATGGTCCGGCTAGACAGCTGCCCCGCCCCTGGACCTCCGGCCCCTCTCGTCCTGTAATTACACGGGGCATTTGCTTGTCCTTTGTTTCGCGTTTTACTTTTTTTTTTTTTAGATTTATTTTCCGCTGTTTGCATATCCTGGCATCCCGTTGAAGGATAAAGGCGCGCGCTTAAATAAGCAATTACCGTGTGCCAGCGACCAGCATCCTGTCAAAGTCCTGCCCAGCGTCCTGCCCGCCCGAAAAAGGGTTGAGCCACTCGGCCAAAGAGGACAAAGCGCACACACAAAAAAACAAAAAAGGGTTCGCCAAAAGGGGAAGCAAAAATCGGACAAAAAACACACTCAGACTCTGCCTCGACCGGCTGTCGGTTCCGATTTAAATCTTTGGCCATGACATGTGGCTACCAGACAAGGTCCACTCTGCACTCGCCCAACCCCTTTGAAAGGGCGGCCAAAAAATCAATAAAAGCCGGCTTTAAAAACGGGCCAGGCCAAGTTCAAGTTCAACACTTGATAATTAATTTTCCAGGACACCAAAGTGCGTGCCGAACTCATTAGCATGGCCCCCAGTCCCCCTTTCCTTTCTTAGGGAAAAAGGAAAAAAGGTCGTTGCCGACGGGTCATTGTGCTTTTAATTAGAAAACATTCCAAGGACGCGGGAAGCGGGGGGTGGCTGAAAACTCATTAAGATTTCCGCATAACCCTTTTTTTTTTGCTCAACCAACCGGCTTTTCTGACCCAGTTTTTCCCCGGACAGCCAGCCGGCTGGCTGACCTTCTTGTCCCGGGATTGTAATTAAGCAATTAGCTAGAAAACACTCTCGCCACTTGCCTTTCCCCTTTCCCCTCTCTCCCTTTACTTGTGGTCTGTTGGTAACTGACCCACGGCAAGGTGAAGTGCCTTGGGCCAGGTGTGTTGACCCCCTCATCAGTGGCTGCCTTTTTTATCCGTTCTCTGTGTATCCCAGTATCTGTGTATCTGCGCGCACTTCCTGTCATTCGTTTTGGAAATCGCGACATCGTGATTGCATTTGGCATATGCACATGTGCACCTCCTCGTTCCCCCGCTGCCGCTTCTCCGAGGGTCACGCAGCTGCTGGCCAGCAACAACAGACTGTCGGAGTGGCCAGCAGCCACTGCATTTGGCCACTGTCCTCCACTGACGACCAGTTGCAGTTGGCCAGGCCAAATTCCCCCTTTCGCGGCATTGACACATTTTTATTCGATTTTTCGCGCAATGTTCCCACGCTTTACTGACCCAACGCAATGTGGCTGGAGTTGGTTTATGGGGAAGGAGCTCAAATTGGTTATATTTTTGTGCTATATGGGATCAGGTCAAAGCTAACTTTTTTATATATATTTTATGGCTTAAAAGATCAGGTCAAAGCAATTGGCTAAGCAAGTTGGGAGCTTATACTTTTTAGGATCAGAGTTTGGCTTAGATTTTGGAGTAGATTAAAGATGATTAATATCGTCTTTAGGTTGATCGTATTTTTTTTTAGTTATTGTACATATTTATGTATTATTTTATTTATAAAATCTTAATTGTTTCTTTGTCTTTATTCATTTATTTTTAAAAGAAAATAATTAGTACTAAAAGTACAAAACCTAGTTGCTGCTGTAGAGACCTCTTTTGGTGTCTTAAGATCATATTTTCTTAAGATGACAGCATCTTTTCATTATTTTATCAATTATTTATTTATTATATATATATATTTTTTTTTATATTTATTTTACTAATTTAAAAAACGTTCCTTTGAAGAGAACTTGTTCTGAGGTGACTTCACACAACATTTATATTTTCTTTTTATTTATTTCGTATTTATTTTTCTTTCCGAAAAGAATTCACTTAATTTTATATATTTTTTTAAACTTTTAGCTTGACCTCTCTTAATTTTTATTTCACTAATTTCACTAATTTAAAACACGTTCCCTTTGAGCTGCTTCCACCTTTCGTTGCTTGATTGATAGGCCCTTCGTCTTAGGCACATCTGCTGGATCTTGATCTATCGGTGGTCTGGTTTTGCTTGATGGCATCTCGGAATCTTGAATTATGGCCGCCGGGCTCCTTTCGATCTGCTGTCGCAGGACAAAGCCATAAATTAGATCGCTTCAGCGATTAACATTGCAAAAGTTCAGGCTTATAGGAACTCGATGCTTAACAGAGCAGCTTTAAGGACGAAACAAAGGCTAATGAGGCGTGGGGCAGGGCTCAAAGGAGACCAGGGAGAAACAGGTTTTTATTTAATATTTTTTTATTTTATTTGTGTTATTTTTTAAGGTATATATATTTTTTTTAAGCAAGTCTCCTTTATTTTCCCTTTATTTTAATAAAGGAGCCCGCATGCCTGTTTACCGTTGTATTATGCTTTCTGCTTGCCGCTTGCCTGATTTTTTGAGAGCTCCTACCGCCCACCTCCATGGCGTGGCGGCCATGGCAAAGGTCAGGGGCTGGCTGTCCCCAGGGGGGTTGGGGTTGTGGAGAACGGGATCAGAAGCAGATGGGCGGGCATAGCAACAATTGCCGCCGCACACGGCCTAGGCTGGCTTTTGTGCCGCCTTTGGTCGGTTGCCAACCGCAAATATGTTCCTGTTCGGCTGTTTTATTTTTTGCATTCTGCATTCTGAATGCTGGATGCTCGATGTTGGATTCTGGCTGTTGGATGCTGAATGCTGGATTTGCCGCCACTGCAAAGTCAACTAATTGAATGTGCTAAACTCACCCACACAAACCAAATAGCGCGCATTAAGCGCTCATTTCAGGATGCCTTGCCAGGACCTCGAAAGTACACTGATTTCCAGATGCACAGGAACTATTTTGGTTTGGTTTTAGATAGGGAAATAATTAATAATATTAAAAATATTATTAAAAATATTATTAAAAATAATATTAGGATATTTTATAACCAAAAGGAACCAAGGGGAAAATATGAAAATCCTGAAAAATGTAGGAAACTATTACAGAAATTATAAGTATGTTTATAATGTATTTTTAAAATGAAACAAAACAAGTAAATATTTCACGTATGTAAAAAACAAATACGGATAAACTAAAAGCAAGTATCTTTAAAAACAATTTGGAGCTTAATTTAAATTTTAAAATATTTCTAACAAATTTTCACAACAAATATCGATTATATTTCAATTAATCTAGTTCAGATTTTTCCGCTTTTCTCGCTGTATGTGGGGAAAAACCTCCCATCACTATTAATGTAATGATGATGACGACGATGATGATGATGATGACGATTTCTCCATTTGCCGCTGCATCTGTATGGGTAATTACTGTGCTGTGTGCTGGTATTAGTGTGAGTCAGGGACGTCGACGTCTGCTGGATGTCCATGGAAATGGGGTGGATTCTGCTTGCCGTTTTTTTTCTATATACACTGAGTTTTAGCATTTTTTTTTGTCCTTCCCCCGACAGACCCTCTCTCTCGCACTCTAACGACTGCCAGCTCACCCTGTCCGCAGTTTTTTTCTACCCACTTTTTTTTGCATTTTACTTGCGTCGGAAACCGCCATTTTTTATGCGCGCTAACTACGCCGCCCTCTCTATGCCCCTCCCTGTCCCTCGCCAGCCACCCCTCACTCTCTCTCTCCTTCTCTGTCGCACCCTCGCACTGCGAATTTGCGCATTAGAAAAAAATGTGGGCTGTACTGTGCGGTGTGTGTGTGTGTGTGTGTGTGTGTGTGAGCGAGGGTGAGGGTGTGCCAGTGTTAGTGTGGCATACAAAATGGATTTTTTTCTGTAAGATTCTCAAATACCGCCGGCCTGTTATTTCTATTTAATAATAGAGCAAGCCATTATTTAAGGGAATATTTTGTAGATTTTTCAAATAGATTTAAAATTTGTTTTTTATAGTAGTTTTTGTAATTGCCTACAGTTGTAATTTATTTAGCCACTGCAATTAATTTTCTTTGGGAACAAAATATGGGGATGTGATGATAGGATAAATATAAGAGACATTTTTAAAATTACTTTTAAGTTTATTAAATAAAAATTTAAAAGTTACCTCGTAAATTTGTTTAAAAATTTTAATTTAAAAATGTTCAAATCTCTACAATTTAAAATATTTTCAAAAAAATTTTAATTTATTTTTATAAGTATTATTAAGCGCTCTTTACAGATAAGAACAAAAGGTTATCGCGAGGAGCAGAAAATGTGGCATGGGTAAGATTACTTTACTATCACTTTATTATTATGGGGATTTAACTGAATCTTAAGATTATTTTTAAAAGAATTTTTAATCGAAAAAATTGCATTATATTTATCAATTAGAAAGAAAAATATCTTTGGAAAGACACATTTTGTATACCCTCTCAGGTTAAAATTGGATCTGTCATAGCTTAGCTAAAAATGCCTTAATTTTTATTTCGAAAGTGGTTCTGAGTTAGTTTTAATTAGTTCAAAAAAGCTGCATACCTAATTTTTAATTTTCAAAAATTAAAATTTTTGCGAATTTTTGAAAAAAATTTAAAAAATTAAGCTTCTTCTAAACATGGCTAGAAAGATTCGCCTGTTTGTGCTGATGAAGAATATATATGATTTATAGGGTCGGAAATGACTCATTTAAAAAATATAACACTTTTTTTTCGAAATTTTGTATAACTGAAAATGTATATTATATATTTTATATATAATTAAAACAAGAAAAGTAACTATGTATTTACTTTTCTTGTTTATGTATTTACTTTTCTTGTTTATATTATTTATATTTTATTTATTTATTTTCTTAACATTATTTTCCCTAATTTTTAAAGGTTTTATTCTCCCAGTGTAAAGTAAGCAGTTCGCAAGCAGTTCGGACCGAAGAGTCTGGCAACGCCAGACTTCCCGTTAACGAGCGACCAAAAGTACCAGACCTAAGAAAAAAAGTGGCATCACTGCTAAGTGTGACAAGTTGCCGATGTAACGGAAATCTCTTATTTTTCTGGCAAATCTTAAGCATTTTAAACTGACAACCAGACAACCACTTTGTTTTTGTTCTATCACAACAAAAAGTTAATAACTAATAAGATAAAAAGCCGCAACGTTCCGAAACAAAGCAATATTGTTGCGATTTCGCTTGGGGCGTGGCCGAGATAACTCCGCTGAGGAGGAGCAGCGAGTGCAACAACAACAACAACGTGGCACAGGGACACCAGGAAAGGCGTCGAAAATGAAGAGCAACGTAAACCAGGGGGGATACGCGCCCCCGGGCTTTGGAGCCGGATACCAGCCCAATGCTCCTCCGGCCGAAGGATTCGGGTATCCGCCTCCCCAGCCGCATCAATCCGCTCCATATTCGCCGCCGCCAGGGCATCCACAGGGACCGCCGCCCATGAATTACGTGAGTTCCAAATTTGTCTCTATATTTACTATTTGTGTTTGTGTGCGTGCGAATTTCGGGGGAGGAACAGTCATGACGTCATTAGCTGCTGGGTGCGTACAGTGGGCACTCGATTAAGGGAACATATGAACACGAAAAGAAGGATTTCTGCAGAGATTTTAGTTTGTAAACAAAGGAAAAATTATCTTTAAAGTTATTTAAAATATTTAAAAAGTGTTAAAATATTTAAACAATTTATTTAGCTTAAATTAATTTAAAAAAAATATAAAATAAATTGTAAATAAATGCAAAATAAAGAAATAAATATTAAATATTTAAGAATATATTATATTAATATTTAAATATTTAATTTAAACATTTAAAAATCATTCAGATAAGGGTCACGATTTTATTTAACTCGTTTCGTTTCCAATTTTAGTTTTTCATTAAATATTTTAACAAAAAATAGAAATACATTATTACTTTCACTTTAAATTATAGAATGTGCCAAGTTTTTTACTCCACAAATTGAAAAGCTGAATTAAGAAACTGGTTTTTATAAATTACCATTTTCATATCAATCAAATAAATCATTCATAAAATATTTTAAGTACTTTGTTCCCAAAGTGCCCACTGTGTTTATTTTTAAACCATAATCACACGTCATCCGCGTCTGCATTGCCATAACAATGAGCTTGATTCGGCTTAATGGGAAGCCAGCGAAAGCAGCGTGCAAATAATTGCAAAACAAATGTTTTCTGTGGATGCAAACAACTGGAAAAACAATGCTCCATATTTTTAAACAGAAAATCTTGTTGGATAAGGAAATCAATATTTAATTGCTCTGGCTTTAATATAATATAATAAAGAAGTAATATTTAACCAGAAAACAAATTAAAGGATATAAATTTTTTTGTATTTTTTTATTTAAATAATATTTATTATTTTTAATTAATTTATTTATTTATTTGTAACCAAGAAAAGTAGCTTACATTTTTAAAACTTTATAATTACTTCCTTAAGCATTGAGTCAGCCTTTTTTAATGACGTAAAAATATAAATAACGTAGAAATAACCTTAAAATTAATATGTATTTTTATAAATTTCCAACTAAAAGGAAGGGCTATACATTTCCAATCATATAAATGACCCAGAAAGTTAGCTCTTCAAGTCAAGAAATACTGATAACTTAAGTAAATAATGTACACCAGAGTGGGATTTATGGGATTTTTCTGTTCATGACGAACTTTAAACATTAAATAATCAACAAATAATAATCAAGAAATTATTAAATTAATTTTGCAACCAAATACCCAAGAGATTGTAGATATAAACATAAATTTCAATGGGTAACACTTGACTCTTTCCACACAATCTCCCGTGAAGCCCATGTAAGTGCCTGTGATAAGCAGAAACAACGCCGTTCGATACACTTCAAATAACCGATAACTAACCACGACAACGCCCCCAATCGAACATTCTTTGCTCAACTCTCGATCGTTTTAGGGTTTTGTGCCTGGTCAACATCAGTCAGGCGGCTACGCTCCAGTTCCACAGATGCCGCCCTACGGAGAAGCACCGCCTTATGGAGCCGGACAGCCGCCATATATGGGTGGCGGACCACCACAGCCACAGGGTTTTGGAGGATATCCACCAGGTCCGGCAGGACCGCCGCAGGGTTTTGGAGGATATCCACCGGGACAGCCGCAACAGCCAGTGATCACGCAACCAGGAATGGGACCAGGAATGGGTGGTCCAGGCATGCCAGCAGGAATGGGACAAGGCGGACCAGCGGGTGAGTAACGAAAAGATTAAAATTGAGTCATGATTGGGTAGTGATTTAGAGAGGGTTTACTAAAGATATAATATATATAATATATAAAAGAAACTTGAGGAGAGTCTAATTATCTTTAGAACTCGAGTTCTTGACACTTTCCAGGGCTTGATAATGTATTGGTAGTACTATCTTTCTTTTTTATTAATAGATAGATAAATAGGTTTTAGGGTTTATTACATAAAAGGCCTAACCGGTTTGTTTTGTTTGTAATTTTGAGTTGAAGGTAGTTTAAAGGGATTTATTTATGACAGTTTAGGGTCTTCAAAAGGGTTTAGGGGTATAATTTTTATAGGAATACTTGTCCCATCACCTGTAGAACTTTTTTAAGGTACTATATTTCTAGCTTTTATAATTTTAAAATGTTTTTCTTGTGATTAATAGAAGAGACAACATTTCTATTTCATTAGCTACAAAGGTAATTCAGAAAGCATAAGCAAATCTCTTACTCTGAAATTTGATTACCAATTCCAAGATACTTAAAATCAAGTAGAACAGTTTTACTAAGACCTTGTGAAGATCTGCAAAGCATAAGTAAATTTTTAACGCCGAATTTGTATAACCATTTCCAAGGTACTTAAACTAGAACAGTTCTTCTCGTTCCTTGTAAAGATCTCCCCTCCCCTGTATCTCCTATTACCTATCTATCTCTCTGGCAGAGTCCCCTACCTGAGCACAAAGAAGCATCTCTGTACGAGCCTCGTGTCATTGCCCTGCATCGCAGATAAGGTCCAATCTTGAGGGGTTCATAATTCCTCCAAGTGCAGGCCAGCCTGAACCCATCATCCCAAAGATAGAGACTAGATTCTGTCCAAGATCGAAAAAGAACAAAGGGTGCCATCTAACTCACAACCAAAACACCCAAAGTGGGATGCAAATATTTACCTAGACAAATCTCCGAGTGTTAGAGTAAAAGATTTCAAAGCGAGGTTCCTCATCCTCCTCCTCCAGTCACTGCTCTTATCTTCGCCTTCTGCTGGATGTGTTTTTGTTTACACGTGCGTCCATCCGTCCCAAATAGGCCGAGAGAACCCCGTCAGGTCTTTGGCGCTTATCGGAAGGCGACGCGTCCGCCTTAATTGAACCAATAAAATAATACAAAAGCGGCATTTAAAACGCGCTGTCCATGGGCCTGGCGTGGATTTTTCCCCGTCGTGCGAGTCTGATGCCTCAGTTAGTTTATCTCTGGGCAGCAGAGCAGGCGGTCGTGTCTAAAGTGTCTATAATAATGTCCACCGAAAAGCGAACAAGTGGCGTCTCGAATTGCATTTCCACGCTGGATCTGAGCGGGGAAAACCACACGGGAGGAGGAGATGCCACAAGGGGCGGCGGCGGTGGTGTGAAGAGCGGCTCCAAGGTGCTGCGTTTCATCTGGCACTCACTGTACAGCCAGTACACTCACCTCTGCTCGAGATCCCAGACCCTGAGGCAACTGGTCTGCCGGGAGGCCAACAGGCCGCTGCCCAAGAAGCTGCGCCACACGATGCGCCTGAACAAGTCGGCCAAGCGGAAGGGTTACGAGTTTTACATTAGCGATGAGGATAGGAGGTGAGTGGGGGGGCTAAGGGGGGTAAATAAGTGAAGGGAGAAGAGTTTAGGAGGATGTAAGGGAGTGATCTGAAGAACATAAGAGTTAAAGGATAGGTTTGATCTTTGTATAATCTTTGAAAAACAATAAATTTTCCTTCGAAAGGTAGGATTGTCACCAGAAAAGGTCAGGGAAGTTGTAGATCTTTAGCCTTTTAAGTAGCCACTCTCTAATTTACAGATTCGAATATATAGTTTATTATTTCCTGATAGGTTAATTTTTATACCCTTGAAAATATTTATAAAAAAATTGGATAAATTTTAATGTATTAAAAAATTCAAATATTTTTGGTCTTCTTCAAGGGTATAATTGTTTTATTTAGTGAAGGAGCCATTTCCGACCCCATAAATCATATATATTCTTGATCAGCATAAATAGGCGAATCTTTCTAGTTATGTTCAAAAGAAAAAAATTTTTTTTTAATTTTTTCAAAATATGATAAGGGGTTACATCATTAAAATTCTCAAAAATTTCAAAAAATTTTGATTTCTTAAAATTTAAAAATTAGTATCTAGATTTGTTAACCTATAAAAAACTAGCACAGAACAGTTTTCCGAATTGAATTTAAACCTTTTTGGCTTATGTATGATTGATTTTTGATGCCATGATCCTACGACAGGATACTGTTATACAAATTTCGGCTTTCCGAATTGAATTTAAACCTTTTTGGCTTAGTTATGCTTGATTTTTGATGCCATGATCCTACGACAAACTGTTATACAGTATACTGTTATACAGTATACAAATTTCGGCTTTCCAAAGTGAATTTCCTTTATTTTTTAAATCGAATTTTCTACCAAAGAACCTATATTTAAAGTGCTTAAATGTAGAAGCCTCAAAATTCATTCTTTTTATGACTTTATTACTTCTCTATATTATCTTAATAATGTCTATGCTTTTGAAGAGAATTTCATATAAATTTGTTTACTGTATCTTCATAAAAATACCTTTAAGCTATACTCTTCCCTCTAGAAGTATGTAATCCCTCTGATTATGCAAATCATTTCAAGGTTGCCTTGCATTGTGAAATTAAAGATTTAATAAAAATCGTAATAAAAGATATCTTCCTTGCTGAGATTAGATACCAGAGTCGTGAGGCTAGCATAAAAGACTGTTGTTGGGGGAGGCTTCTCTATCAGAAATTGCGGTGGATAGGGGTAGTGGTGGGGTGGTCTCCATTGTAATGCCTCCAATTAGAGAGGCCGAGCAATTGTGCCGGCGACATTGACCAATTGACACACTGGCGACTAAACGAGCTGAACGAGATGCCCTTTTGTTGTGAAGACTTAATTCAATTTCAACAAGAAGATTAAGCTAAAGAATATATATATAAATTTATAAATTTACTATAATAAATATAGGAATATTTTTTGGGTTAAATATATAATTTAAAAATATAATATTAACCTCTTAAAACCCCTCTTCCAGGCGACTGGATGAGTATACCTTCCGGAATTCCGAACTGTCCGCGCGGATTGGAGTACCTTACGACTATCGACCAGCTTTTGGTTAAGCAAAAGGTCGAGCTCCTCGAGGCCTTCACCGGCTTCGAGACCAACAACAAGTTCTCGATCAAGAATGCCCTCGGCCAGAAGGTCTACTACGCGGTGGAGGACAATGACTGTTGCACGAGGAATTGCTGTGGTCCCTCGCGACCCTTTGACATGCGTGTTTTTGACAATTATCAGCAGGAAGTGATCCATATGCATCGTCCCTTGGCCTGCTCTTCGTGCCTGTTTCCCTGCTGCCTGCAGAGTATTGAGGTTTCGGCACCGCCAGGCAATGTCATTGGCACCATTGAGCAGGAGTGGTCCATCTGCTCGCCCTCGTTCCGTATCCTGAATCACATTGGGGATACAGTGTTGCGTATTCAGGGACCTTTTTGCACGTTTTCGCTGTGCGGAGATGTGGAGTTTGAAGTGAGTTTTATTTATTTGTTTGATTTTTTAAGGGTTGTATTGTTAATGTATAATTTTTATGTGTTTTTTAGGTGCTTTCCCTAACGGGCGAGAAGGTGGGCAAGATCTCTAAGCAGTGGTCAGGCTTGGCACGTGAAATCTTCACGGATGCAGACTTCTTTGGCATCAGTTTTCCGCTGGATTTGGATGTGCGCATGAAGGCGGTGTTGCTGGGCGCCACATTCCTGATTGTAAGTAGTTTTAATAATATTATTTATATATATATAAAATATAGATTATAAATTAATATTAATATTATTCTGGTTCAGTTGTATTCTGTTAACTTTTATCGATTCAAGCTGGGGCGGCAACTGCAACGCAGATTATGTTGAAGCTGAGGTAACTTCATGGAACCCAGCTTAGTTTGCGTAGGCTAAACCCCCAGCTAAAGGTCTTTTTGTTCATTAAAATGTACCCCACTAATCATTACTCTTTTTCTCTTTCTTTAAGGATGCCATGTTCTTTGAGAAACAAGGCAACCAGGAGACAGATCGCCCTGGAATGCTTTAGAACTCGTGCGACTGGTGCTGCGACTGTGGCTTTGAGCTGGCCAATGGCTGCTTTGACTTCTAGGAATCAGTTTCTACCGCTGTAACTCTCTCTCTGTATCTTCCCTGTGAACTGTCGCGTACTAGTCTTCGAAACCAAATGCTTTTTTTGATGGAAATGGAAACGCACTTACGGAACTCCTTTGTTAACGTTTATGGAAAATCCGCAACTGGAAATAAAATAAAACTCAGGCGTAGCCAAGATATTCATATAGCTCTTATACTTAAGTTATAAAGCATTTCTAGCCATCTATCAGCTTCCTTCATGAATTTACTAGGAAGTTGGCTTGACGAAGAAGCTTACCAACGAACTAAACTAAAGGAAAATAAAACAATGTACTTTAAACCTTAACTGAGTGTCTTATGTATAGAGAAGCATATATATAGCCTACGTTTTGTATTGTTAAGCTGGCTGGAAATATACAAATACCCTATAAAAATACCCTTTTCTATATAAACAAAGATATTTATGTATTCTTTTTATGTATTTCTTGAAGGTTAAATAAATGTGTCCAACTTATAAATGGTTATTTTAATTTTTAAGATTTAATTTGAGGTTTTTTTCTAGAAAAATTTAGGAATTACAGGTGGCATAGGTTATCAAATAAAAGACACTCACTAGCTCGTCACCTTAGCTGGTTTTTGCCGCCTGGAAACCGGCTTCTTGAAAAACGAAAAACAAAACCAGAACCAAAACAAGTTTACTCTGATTAAAAATAAACCCAAAACTGCACTCGAAGTCTCTCCAGTTTACTTCAAAATGCAGGCTGTGCATGTTCTGTTAAGAGGAGTTCTTCTAAGTCTCAGTATCTCCCTCTTGGTTTTGGCCAAGGATCTGCAGGAGTGCGAGGACCTAGGACAAGGCAGTCACCTGTGCCGCGAGATCGAAAGCTTCGAGCAACTGAGTCGCTATGTGGGCGAAAACTGGCTCAGAGTCAAGGTGGTAAACGAACACACTGGCATTGAGGATGAGGATCAGGAGAAGGAGTTTACCAGTCTCTCCAAGCTACTGCATCTAGATCTATCCGAGGCTGATGGTTTTACCCTGGCAGAGCGGGGAGTGCGCGACTTTAAGGCTCTGCAAGAGCTCAATATCACCCACTGCCAGCTGGAGGAGCTGCAGGAGCAGCACTTTCCCAATGCCTCTAAAATCACCAATCTTGATGTGAGCTACAATGACATACAGCTTATAACAGGAAAGGTTATGAACAGACTCCCTGATCTGGAGTATGGCAACTTTTCCAACAATTTAATTGCTGAGATAGAACCCGATGCCTTTCGTGGCCTAAAGAAGCTGCGCTTTCTAGATTTCACCACCAATGAGCAGGAGAATATAACTCTGGGAGAGAACAAGAATCTGAGGTATCTGTCCATAAGCAACAACAATGTGAGAGATGTGAGTGGTTCGTGAAAGTCTCTTGTAGATTTGTATATTCATAGTTTATTTTCTCAAGTTCCAATGGTGCCGCATGCGTGGCTTACCCAAGCTGGAGGAGCTTCACCTGCACAGCAATTGGCTGGAGAACCTGGACATGGGCATATTCTATGCCCTGCCCAAGCTGAGGGTTTTTAATGTTTCCAACAACAACTTGTATGACATCAAAAGAACCCTGTTCATGTCACCAGATGAACGACCCCCGCTGGAGCTGCTGGACTACAGCTCAAATAATGTGAAGGTTCTGGATGACTCTGTGTTCTGCAGACTAGGAAACCTTAAAACCCTCAATCTCTGGCTCAATCAGATTAACAAAATCCATCCCCGGGCCTTTTTGGGTCTGTTTTCCCTGCAATCCCTGCAGCTGCAGGGCAACAAGATCTCTTCTTTACCAGACGAGCTCTTTGCTAATCTCACCTCCTTGGAGCAACTAGATTTAAGCAGAAATAATATCAAAAAGTTGGGTTTAAGAGTCTTTGGCGGCACTATACTCCGGCAGCTGACTCACCTGAATTTGAGCAACAACTATATATCGGATCTACATCCTCTGGCTCTCTCCTCCCTACCTTTTCTCAAAGAACTACGCTTGGGGAGAAACAAGCTGGTAAGTCTAGACCTGCGCATGTTTGCCCCTCTTCGACGACTGCAGTTGCTGACAATTGGAGAGAATCGCCTGGAGGAGATTGAGCCCGAGATCCTAAACACCTTTGAGCGTCTCACTCACCTGGAGATCAACAACAATCGGCTGGCATTCTTGCCGGATTTGAAGGCTTCACAGAATCTGCAGTTGCTGAGATATATTAGCCTCGAGGGCAACCCCTGGCAGTGTCTGTGTCTGGACGAGATCACCGCCTGGCTGGACTCAAGAAGAGTGAGCTATGCCCGTCCCAGCAGTGCTTATTTTAGTGGCAGAAAACCCCTGTGCGTGGTCACCCCAATGGATAAGTGTCAGCGAAAACTGGAGGATGTACGGGCTCAGGGGATAGTCGAGAGCTACGAGAAGATTTGAGTTTGTATTTGATTTATAATTGAAGCTAATTATAATTATAATAATTAGTATTAATTTATTGAGAGCTATAGCTTCTTGAAGGTCTTAGTAACTAGCACTCTAATTTAACAATTACCTTTGAATTTTCTTAAATAAAAATAAATAAACTGTCTAAACTGTTTTCAGCGAGCTATAAATCAATATCCACTAAATGCTGGCTTGCAGTTTCTGTTGTGGGTTACGCTCCGCCAACTGACTGACTGTCTGTCTACCTAGAGGGGGGATATGTCCTGGTAGCAGCCTCCGTAAATCACAGACAATTGGATGACCATCAGGGCAAAACTTTTAGCTAGCCAAAGTATTCGACCAACTGTCGTAAAACAATAAAACGGAAGGCATTCGGGGGAGCAAGAGCAGGCGATTCGGGCGGAAAACCGAAGCAGAGATTTTCAAATACTTAACACCACTTAAGCGAACAGTTGGACAAGGACCAAGAGGGAGGAGGAGGATCAGGGATTGGGAATGGGACTGGGACTGGGACTGGGCATTGGGCATTCCTAGAGGTGGGGTTTTGATTGTTGAGCGTAATTTAGCGCAAGAATTTTTATTAAAATTTTCAATTTGTTTGCAGATAAACTTTTTACGCTCGGCCACAATGAATTGATTGATTGATGGATGAGGAATTGAGGAATTGAGCAGGTAAGTGAGTGAAAATGGGTCCTGAGAGAGAGATTATACCATAGAAAATATGCCAGAGATAGCTCTGGTCCCTTTTATATATAGTTTTCCCTCTAGGAAACACATATTCCCACCCTTAATGAGGGCGTAACTTCACCTAGTGAGTCCTTGCATTCAACCATTTGAATAGGCCGCAGGGTCAGAACAAGTCGAGCACAACTATGCGACGCATTCACACGGGAACAGGTAACAAAGGGACAATGGGCCCGGGGAGTTGGCAGCCAGGACATGTGCAGTCAATGTGCAATTACCGGTATAAAGGGCGAATTGGGGGGGCCGGAGGACTACAGCCAATATCCTTGCTCGACAGCGGCCATAAAAGTTTGGGCCTTAAAGCCTCAAGTTTTGAGGCTGTGAAAACTCCAAGGCGACTAATTAAATTAAATTTTTCGCTTTACATTTTCCCTGGCAAAAGGTGAGACCCAGGTGAAGGGCAATAGGGAGGTGACTCCCTCCAATTAATTTGGCAACAAACTTGGGCCGTTGTTTGCACAATTTGATAACCAAAATGGCTGGCAGTTCCGGTCTTCTTTAAGGCCTGGACATGACAAACTTGTTGCTCCCCCCGCGCTTTCCCTCTGCTTCTCTCGGGGGAAATTCGCTGGTGAAAGCCTAGAACCCTTGTCAACCTGAAATGAAGCTCCGCCGAGGTGTCAAAGACATGCCGGCCATCAATTTTCCCCAGATCGCAACCCCTGTTGGCTCTTAGTGACCCCTTGACCCCATGGCGTATGCTTAATATTCCTGTGAAATAAATTCAAAATCAAATTCATAAATATTACGCATCCGCTTTGTGGTTTTACTGGCTTTAATTATTTTACTTTTTAGTGCATTTGAGGTGGCATTCTGTTTTGGTTAATTACGTTTACGGCTAATTGCGTTTTTGTGGTTTAAATGGCTGCAAAATCCGTTATCAAAATATTTGCGAAATGCATTTTTGCTCAATTAGTTCCGATTATTGTGTGTGATTTCGGTGACCAATTGTTTTAGGGAGTGCGTCGATTCATATTCGAGTTTGGGCAGTCGCGAAATCCAGGAGGGTCTGGCCAGCAAGCCACTCTCCTGCTCTTTGAGCTGATGTTCGACGGTCTTCAGCTTTTCGGGTGGGTCCACAAGGGAGATCAGCATATGTGAAGTCTTGGCCGACTCCAGGGTCTTATTCATTTTCCGAATGGCATGCATCAGCTTCCGGCGGGTCTGGTGCAGCAAATGTAGGGTTCGTTTCAAGCGGTTTCTCATGTCCATGTGCTCGATCTTGTAACATCTCAAGGGGACCTAGGGCAAGGATATGAATTAAGAGCTTAAAAAAATGTATTTAAAATGAAATTAACTTACCCTAGCGCGATACAAGTTCTTCAGTGTCCTTTGGAGTGGCTGTATTTGGGACCTGTAGTCCAAGTCGCTGCAGTAGCTGGTGTCCAGCTCGTTGTGCCGCTCCAGGCACACTTCCACCTGATGCTTGTGCTCCTCTATCCACTTGGGCACCTCGTCCAGCTGCTTCATCAGCTTATCCGCGCAACATCTAGACTCCTCAATCCGCTCACTCACCAAGCTCAGCTCTTCGGTGGTCTCCCTGAGGCGGCTCTTAACCACCTCGATTTGCTGGAAGCCCTGCAAGGTCTCCAGCTGGATCTCCCTCAAGTTGGCATTGTCCGATTGAAAGGGCACTTGATCTGATCCCGATTCCTTGCTTAGAGTGTGAACTAACTTACTTTTCATCTGCAGCACACGCTGTTTCATCCTTTCCAGCTGCTGATAGGACTCTTCGAGTTGGGAGTCATTGCTAGCCTCCTCCTGGAAGACGCTCTTCTCCAGGGTTATTTCGCTCTCACTTTGGGATAAGCCCGGGACCCAGCAAGACATCTTTATAAGTGGGTGATTGTATTTCTATGTTCTATGTTTTATATTTGTTGGTGAGTCTGATTGGAGGCGCTGTATATGTGAGATTGATTATTAATTTGACACAGAAAGAAAAGGTATACTTGGCAAAGGTTTTAATTTGATTTTTTAGCAAGGAAAAATCATTGAAAAAATTCTTAAAAAATTAGCCACGACTTTCCCCCTTTTAAGTGACGTTAAGAACTTTGTTTCCAGCTTGGCATTTTAATGAAAATGCCTGGCCAAAACGCCACAAAGTATGCAATGGAGCTGCAACAATGCTGCCCTGCTTCGTCAGAGTGCACACACACACCTCAAATTTGCCTCGAAGGCTCGGAAATTCCCTTTTGCTAATGATTTTTAATAGCCAAATTGCATGAGGATCCTGCAGACAGGTCGCAGCTGCCTTCCTCTTGAAAATGCCTCTTAAAAGCGTATTTGTGGTCGCACTCTCCAGCCTGAAACACACACCTCTTCTCCGCACACACACTCTGCTGCGGTCAATAAAGTATGCAAAGTGGTGGCTGCTAGAGGAGATGGAGGAGGAGCAGGAGCAGGAGGAGCAGCAAGGGTTTTTGGGTGGTAATGTGGCCTTCGGAGTGACCATACCGCCGACCTTAAAAACAAATTAGTGGTGCTTACTCAACAAGATTGAGTGGCCCGTGTATCGCTGTCATCGTCATCGTCGTCGTCATCGTCGCGGCTGTCCAGTTATCGAACAGGGGCGTGGCCGCAAAAGGGGCGGTATTACATTTACTTGAGAGGGAGGTGCTAGGATTAATTACTGCGGTAGGTTTGTATGTTAATCAAGGTTGCAGTCTGAAATATATTCCACATGTTTATAGTTTTATATTTTTCATAATTTAATATATATAATTTATAAGGTTAATGATTTAAAATCAATAATTTTAAGGTCAAACTCTTAGCTACTTTTTTTATAATTTTCCACAGCCTCGTCTCATATTGTTTACGCATTCTTCTTTTCCAGGCGCAAAAAGAGCTCACAAAATCCGCACTTAATTAATTTCCATCGTCTGTGGTCGTTGCCCCTGTGATCCTGTGACCACATCCTGACCCAGGATTCAGCTACGAGTGCGGCCTGCATCTATTTATAGGCCCCCGATATTAACTGATGAATATTTATGCGAATTCTAGAAGCAGAACGAGCACGAGAAGCATGAGCACCAGGAGCAGCTGGAGCATCATCCTCCGACCATTCCCGATGAGTCGTCAAATCAACAGTCGAGCATAATTTTTGTTAATAAAAGCGTGTAATAATTTGCCGCCAGGCGAACACATGTAACACCCCAAGGGGGCAGCGGCCGGCGGGGAGCCGGCATGTGTGTTGCAAATGAAATTATGTAAATGTGACAGCAACAACGAAATACAACAGAGATGTATCTGCATCTGAATTTTGTATCTTTTTCTGGGGGGAGGGCGGTGGGTGATGGCAGCAGCGGTTGACCCCCGAATACAATGGTAATGCGATGAGCACAGGGAGGGCTGTAGCGGGGGGGATTTTAGGGAAATGCGGTCTGCGTTCTCTGCCAAAACATGGCTTAATGTTGATTAGACGCATTAAACATGCAAAAGCCCGAAGCCCGCATGCCAGCAGCCGTTGTTGTTATTTTTGGGAGGGGGCAAACAATAAACGGCAGCATAAAATAGATATGTGCATTGCATATTTGCAGTCGTGCAGAGAGAGAAAAATTGTTAAAAAGTTATTCCCGTCTACTTTATCAATTAAAAATATTAAAAATTAAAAATGGGAACCACACAAGTCCTAGTATTCTTATACCCCTCAGGGTATTTTATTTCCAGACCGAAGCTCATTACGCATAGAAGGAGTCATTTCCGACCCCATAAACCATATATATTCTTGATCAGCATTAACAGGCGCATCTTTCTGGCCATGTCCGGCAAAAAAAAATTTTTATTTATTTTTTAAAAATTTTATAAGGGGTTACATCATTAAAATTCTCAAAATTTGATAAAATTTTGAATTTTTAACTAAGTTTGCAGATTTGTTAACCTTATAAAAACTAACATAACACCGCTTTCCGAATGCAAATTAAGGCATTTTTGACAGAGTTATGGCTTTTTTAGTTTTTAATTTTCTGTTTTTCTCATTTCAATTACCGGATTTCCATCGTCATTGCCATCGCCATCGCTCATCAGTACCACCCACCCCGACCAAAAACCAAGGGAAAGGACCAACGACACAGCGATCCGCGAAGCACAAGTTCATCCTAGTCATCATTGTAATTGTTGATTGATGATCATCGGATCGGCAGTGGTGAAGCTGGAGGAGCAAGCAGCTGGGATGGCGGAGCTCAAGCGAATGGCAGTGGTCGGATCTTGGCTTCGGGCTAGCTGAAGCCCAGCAGGCGTAAAGTATTGGAATATTTATAACTACTACTACTACTACTACTAAAAATGTGTAAATGTAATTGATGGTACAAACAAATTTGAATCAATAAAAAAAGGGAAATCAATGTGAAATTGTGTGGTTTAAGCGGCATTTATTTGGGGGCCTTGGGATTGTTTGGGGAAAAATCTGTTAAAAGCCAAATGTAATTTTTTTTTAATTTTTAACATCATTTTCTGAATTTTTTTTCTAAATTTCTAAAAGTTTTCCTGAATTTTTAAAATTGTTTTTCTAATATTTTAACTTTTTTTTTTTATTAAAAATTTTTTTTTTTAATTTTGAAAATTTTTTAAAATATTTTAACTGCCAAATTTGAATTTGAATTTAACTGCCAAATTTGAATTTGAATTTAACGACGATCAGTTTCAGTGTGCCCAGGTGCAGTTGTAAAATAACACCTAAATTTGGATTCAAAAGGTTTGAGTCTCCGCTTACGTGCGCCGACTCTTAAATGGTTCGAAACTTGGACAAAATTTACAATATGGTCACACTGGCACGTTTTTCGTGGCCCAAAGTTTTTATAACAGTTTATACCAGTTTTCAGTTGCTTGCTGCTGGTTTCTGTTCGCCTGTTACCCCAATTTGGGAAACGGGCAATTTGCATGGAAATGTTCGGAAATTTGGATGGGCTGCTGTAGGGATGTTGTTGTAAAAAGGTTGTTGTTGCCATCAAGCTGTTATTGTCTGCAACAAATAGGTATAAATGCATAAAATGAAATATAACAGTTTATACCAATTATTATTCTTGCCCAAAAGTTTTTATAACAGTTTATACCAGTTTTCAGTTGCTTGCTGCTGGTTTCTGTTCGCCTGTTACCCCTGTTTGGAAAGCGGCCAAATTGAATGAAAAATTTTGGTCACTTGCATCAGTGATGCTCATCTTCATCAGTGATGCTCATCTGGCTATATGTCAATATTAGGGGGCAATGAAATCGGACATAATGGCAGTGATGCTCATGTGCATTAGTGATGCGCATCTAGCTATTTTGCATTATTGGAACAAAATGGCATCTCACTAACTGCCTGTGATGCGCATCTAGCTATTTTGCATTAAATCTCGGTTAATACCAGTGATGCTCATCTAGCTATATTGCATTATTGGGACAAAATGGCATCTCATTAACTGCCAGTGATGCTCATCTAGCTATATTGCATTATTGGGACAAAATGGCATCTCACTAGCTGCCAGTGATGCTCATCTAGCTATTTTGCATTATTGGGACAAAATGGCATCTCACTAACTGCCAGTGATGCTTATCTAGCTATATTGCATTATTGGGACAAAATGGCATCTCACTAGCTGCCAGTGATGCTCACCTAGCTATTGCTATATTGGGAGGCTATAAAATCTCGGTTAATACCAGTGATGCTCATCTAGCTATATTGCATTATTGGGACAAAATGGCATCTCATTAACTGCCAGTGATGCTCATCTAGCTATATTGCATTATTGGGACAAAATGGCATCTCACTAGCTGCCAGTGATGCTCATCTAGCTATTGCTATATTGGGAGGCTATAAAATCTCGGTTAATACTAGTGATGCTCATCTAGCTATATTGCATTATTGGGACAAAATGGCATATCATTAACTGCCAGTGATGCTCATCTAGCTATTTAAAATCTCGGTTAATACCAGTGATGCTCGTCTAGCTATATTGCATTATTGGGACAAAATGGCATCTCATTAACTGCCAGTGATGCTCATCTAGCTATATTGCATTATTGGGACAAAATGGCATCTCACTAGCTGCCAGTGATGCTCATCTAGCTATTGCTATATTGGGAGGCTATAAAATCTCGGTTAATACTAGTGATGCTCATCTAGCTATATTGCATTATTGGGACAAAATGGCATATCATTAACTGCCAGTGATGCTCATCTAGCTATTTTGCATTATTGGGACAAAATGGCATCTCACTAACTGCCAGTGATGCTCATCTAGCTATTGCTATATTGGGAGGCTATAAAATCTCGGTTAATACCAGTGATGCTCATCTAGCTATATTGCATTATTGGGACAAAATGGCATCTCATTAACTGCCAGTGATGCTCATCTAGCTATATTGCATTATTGGGACAAAATGGCATCTCACTAGCTGCCAGTGATGCTCATCTAGCTATTGCTATATTGGGAGGCTATAAAATCTCGGGTAATACTAGTGATGCTCATCTAGCTATATTGCATTATTGGGACAAAATGGCATATCATTAACTGCCAGTGATGCTCATCTAGCTATTTTGCTATATAGCTCATAACTCGGCCAAAAACGCATGAAATTCAATTCGGAAAACTGTTCTGAGTTGCCCTTTCTATGCTTAACAAAACTGCATACTCAGTTTTGCTAAAATACTTACCTATAATTTATAAAAAATATCAACAAAAAATGAGAAAAACCCTCATAACTCGGCCAAAAACGCATGAAATTCAATTCGGAAAGCTGTTCTGAGTTGCCATTTCTATGCTTAACAAAACTGCATACTCAGTTTTGCTAAAATACTTACCTATAATTTATAAAAAATGTAAGCAAAAAATCTGAAAAACCCTCATAACTCGGCCAAAAACGCATGAAATTCATGAAATTAACAAAACTGCTTACATACAGTTTTGCTTAAAAACTTACCTATAATTTCAAATAATTTT